GCATCTGCTCTGAAGAGTGAGGTATCATGCTTCCTTGTAGAATGTGGTCTATTTATTACATACTTAACAAACTCCAAAAACATGAAAACGTAGGTTCAATATGAATTAGTTATGTAAGCTTAAGGAGAATCAACCACAAGAAAATTTATGATGATGTTGCCTGAATATCAAAATTGTTCCAGGACTATCCATGCAAAATATTAGTCTATATTACTCTGCATTTGCTAGTGGTGTTGTGTTGCATCATATCAGCTATGGCAAGATGTATCAACATTGTGTCACATTGTACTTCTCAAAAGTGGGGGAGTACTTGTTGCAGTTGTGAATGAATTTGTTACCTAGTAGTCATATATATTGGCATTGTCCGCTGGTTAGAAACATCATTTCAATCCAGTTTTTACAAAGGTTGATGTTATAGGACCCATATTAGCTATGAGAAATAGGTGTAGCACTCTTACTTTTGCAAATAATCCAATGCACAGTAAATCCTTTGCGCTTGTATGTGGAGAACAATTATGTGAAGTAATGTACATTGAATTTACTGTTATTTGTAGTTTTTTTGCAAGGGATTTGCTCTTACTTTTTGGCTTTGGTTTTTGTACCACATGCTTGATACGGATTACTTTCTTATTTTTTTCAATTTGGAAATAGACTACTTGTCAAGAATCAAATGTTAACAATGCATGCAAACATTCTGGATATCCACGTTGGATTCTTGTGCTCCATTACTTTGGACTCTGGTCATGGGCTATTATGGCGTTATGTCAATAGTCTTGAACTCTCAATGATTTTTTTTGAATCGTGGAACCTTTTCTGGTTTACCTCGTGGAAGTAATGATTGTGGCTGCCCATTGTACAAAACGTATGTTGTTGCTGTTATCACTGTAATGTATTTGAGGCATCAATATTTTTTGCAGTTCTTCACAACAACCACTTCCTTGTGATCCATCAAGCTTGCCAAAGTATCCTCCCAGCAAAGAGTTTGATGCAAAGTTCGGGATGAAGAAGCTAGAAGGTGCATGTTATTAATTTTGTTTTCGTTATTTGTACATTTAAGCCATCTCTCATACAACCTGAACCAATAATGCATCAAGGCTAGGGTGCAACTCGGCCGAGCCAAGTATTAAAAATTCGGGCAAGCCTCGGGTTTGTCGGGTTCAATCCGAATATTAAAATTGGGTTGAACCCGATTATTAAATTGAGTTGAACCCAAATATACATAAATATATTTAACTAATGTTAGTATTTATCTTCACTTTTCAAAGTCCAAACTTTCACTTCAAGTTTTCACCTTGCGTCTCCATCACTCTCAGATCCCTCTCTCACTCGTCTCTCATTTGATCTCAAACTCTCAAGCTCCCTCTCTCACTCATCACTCTTCCCTCTCTCAATCGTCACTCGTCTGAGTTATCTTAGACTCTCAGCCTCCCTCTCTCATCATCTACGCCTCGCCCTTCATATCAGATCACTTGAAAAAATCAAATTTACACTTCAAAAAATCAACCCGAATTAAGCAACTCAAGTCCAACCCAATTTTTAACCCAAAATCGGCCCGAATTAACTAACCTGAATTCAACTCAAGCCCGTTCGAATTAAACTCGGATAAATAAAGCACCCGTATCCGAGCTCTCTTACCTAATTAAGACAATATATGCTAGTTTCGAGACGATGCTTATTTTATTGTGCCTAAAACAGGCCTTGCGAATATTGTACCTTAGGTCCTTGAGGCTTCTTATTTACTCATTCTGGCAATTTTGAAATACACATTAGGACGAGTATAGTAAAAAATCACCATTTTTTAAGCGATCAGTGTAGATTTGTGTATCATGTCTAATCAGTTTTGTGCTCAATAATTGCTTTTGTTTAATTTGAGTGGTAACATTGAGATTTAAGAGTTCTGCTGTACTAGATTTATGCCATATCAAATTACCTGAAATATTTCAGCAAACTCCCGTTGGATTGGGAGTGGCATGCGAATGCTAAGTTAACCAAATGAGATTCCAGACAGAAAGCAGATTCTATTGCTCCTTAGTCAGTTAGTCCTGAGTTGTTGGATTTTGTCACTTGCATCATCGTGAGTTATTTATCACTTGAAGTTAAATGTTCATTCTTGTGGCACATGCTAATGATCCTCCTTCTCCTCCCACTCCTAGGCCACAGGTAGAGGGGAGGGGGAGTAAAACCCTTCCTCTCGCTGTCCCTTTTTTCTCTCAGGCACAACTCTCCCCCTGGCTTGGCTGCTACAAGTGTTGCATGTACTGATAACCTTCTTATTGGTGGTTGTAGACAAGCGGCATGTGGAAGCAAAGGTCACAGATATGACCTTGAAAGGAGAGGAACAAGAGAGTCCCGAGCCATTCCAGCTCCCGATGCCAATGCCGAATTAGTCTTGTCAATGAAGGTGCTTCTGTATTCAAATTTTTATTGATAAGTCTCTTGCAGCTGCTGTCATTTTGCTCCTTTTTGATTTTGTTAATAACGTTATCATACATGTTTGAGACTGAGACATCCTTGACTCTCTGATCCATGTGCATGAGCACTCCAGCATTTTTCTTTATGTGTGTGTGTGTGTTTTTTTTTTTTTTTTGGGGGGGGGGGGGAGATAATTCTGATTTGTTTTTTTTTTTTTAAATTTGTATATTCACTGAGTGGCTATCTCAATACAGAAACGACAAGGTCAGTCCAATTCCAAGAGCCGGAGTGAGCTGTTCAACCCTCATGCAGAAGAAGTTGCTTCTGGCTTTCCGATTGACCCACCCAGACCATCCCAAGCTGTTGAAGAAGCAATCGATGATCCCCAGAGGCATCTTCATAAGAGAGCTTCCCATTCTGGGCCGTTGGTTAAACGGGCTGCCTGGGTAAAGTCTGGAAAGAACGTGGAAGATGCTCCAAAGATGTCAAATGGGGCCGACTTATCGACAATGTCTGGTTTAGTGGCTGCAAGGAGGGCTTTGTTGTCTGAAGATTGCAGGGAGAAGGCTGGTCCTGCGGAACAGGATGTTCCAAAACTAATTGGCAGGTTTCCGGGATCTTTCAAGGACGTATCCAATTCTATGGTAAAGCATGATCCAAAGAATCACGCGGCTGTTGGATCTCATCAAAATGAGGAAGGAAGAACCAGCAACAAAGATTCAATTCTTGTATGTATCAAGAAATGCATCCTTTTTTTAACACCACTCACACACCATCCAGTTGTGGAAGTGGGGTGTCAATACCAATTGATTAGGCCAAATCTAATTTTTTTCCCTCGGTGGTTTCTTTTCAAAGAATGTGAGTAGGTGTTGTACCAAGCATTTTTATCTGCTGATTATTGTTCTTGCTTATGTTTCTTCAGCTTGGGTACGGATCAAAGGGAAACAAACTTCACTACTCTGGTCCACTGCTAGTTCCATCGGGCAAAGTGGATCAAATGCTGAAAGAGCATGATCGTCAAATCCAAGAAGCTGCAAGACGAGCACGCCTGGACAAGGCAAAAGTGAGAACAGTACAGGTCGAGGGAAACCAGTTGTCAACCAATTCATTATTTGTTTCTGGTCGTTGAGCTGGCTTTAAAGGATAAGAAGAAAGGTCATCACAGAATTTCTCTGTGATTCTCTTGTAAAACGACTTGTTTGATTTTGTATAGAGTTCTTCCACGAATGATGGGGTAGGGGTTCATTTTTTAGCTGATCATAGAGTACACTAGGAAATCTCTCTCTCTCTCCAGCAACCGCAGTTACTAAAATATGAGTCATTCTTGTAGAGCTTATTGGGATGTAGCTGTAAACATAATAATTGTTACTTTGATCACACTACTGGTAGTTAGGCAGTTCATCGATTTGGTGCAATGCTCTCTCTCTCTCTCTCTCTCTCTCACATGGGTATGGATTGACTACTATTTGGACTAATTTTGGGTGATGTTTGTATACTTTTTAAAGAAAGGAAGGAAATTAACCAAGGTGAGTGCTAACTAGGCTAGCTGTGTGCTTAATTTGATGCTATTATCAGGCACCATTTGATAATGTTTTCAAACCTTTTATTTTTTGGCATTTCAAGTATTTTTGGTAATTAACATTTAGTTCATGGTTTTACTACAGTTAATTCAAAAGTTATATTGAATCAGGTCAACAATTAGGTACCAATAATATTACTTTTGATGTATTCTTCTAAGCTTAATATATAATATCAAACATATATATCTGTATATATATAAATATAGTATTTATGTCTATCTATATCTATATTACTAATAAAAGTATCTTAACATGAAAAACTTTTGAATCTCTATTTTACCCTTATAAAGAATTGTAAAAATCATTCTATCATTTGATAATTAAATATCTAAATTATCATTATATCCTTATATTTAAATCTCTAAATTAACTCTAATATCTCTTTTAATTATCTATTTTCTATGTATAAATATTGGTTTTCTATGAAAAAAAATTGATTGACTATATTATCCTTAAAAAAATATGCATCATTATACTTTTAATAAAGTGTTCAAAAATTTCATCAATCTAATATTACTCTTCTCATATGCAAATATAATATTATATCTATATATGTATATATATTTTTTCATCGAAAAAGTTTAAACCTTTCATTTCTAAGATAAAAAATAATCATATATATAGTTTTTTAAAATCAATTTATGTTACATTAATATAATTATTCAGTCACAATAAACTTTCTAAGTTGTATTAAAATTTATGTGAAAGTATATATTGTAGTGTATTTTTTAGAATTTTAATTTTGTCTAATTTGAAAATTTTTAGAAATTTTAAGTAAAACTTGAAATTTTTAGAGTAGTATATTAAATTTTATATCAATTCACCAAACCAATTCCTAATTATAGTAAAATTCTAATATGATTAGCATATTAAAAATTAAAATTTTTTTATTCAAGAAGTTATAAGTAAAATCCTAATAAAATAAATTTCAAAAAATTTAATTTATCAAACATCACTAAAAAATCAATATCAATCACAAAATTCTAAAAAAAATAAAAAATAGAATTTTAACTTTTAAAAAAAAATCTATTTTCTATTAGTTAGAACAAAGAATTTTGGGAACATAGAAAATTTTTATAATCTTATAATAGAATGTTATTAATGAAAGATTAAGTTTTATAAATTTGAGATGATATTTAATTCAGATACACATATACTTAATATGTTTTATTAATTTTTGTGTACGAAAAATTGTCATACACAAAGCACGTGGTACATTGTTAATAATATAAAACGTATATAGACTAGTTTTTTTTTTTGGTCTAAATAAACACTAGTTAAAATTATAATTAATCATCTTTTGGATTTTTTATCTTAACTGTCTTTTTAATTAAGCACAAGTATTTGAAAAAAAAAATTATAAAATGATATATTTCTTGCTTGCTAATGAGAAGAAATAATGGAAGCTCCCAAGGACACGCAATAGAATTTTACACCACAAGGAGGGTGTCTCTGTATTTCCCACTACCCCAGGTTATCCTTTCTAAGTTTCTAGTTGACTATTATTATTTTTTTGTTTAATGGTCCGAAGTTCTTCTCCCATTTTATGTGTATTTTAACTAATTTTTTCTTTTATCCGATCAAAGACAAATCAATTATGTCAAAATTAAAATATTTACGAGGAATAAATCCATTATCACCACCGATATCCCTTTTTGAAAATATATATGACTTTATCCCGTCATTAAACTCCAGCTCTAGGAATATACTCTCTCTCTCTCTCTCTCCCTCTCCTTCTGTATGCATGAGCAGCACGATGCTTTTATGCTGTTTGTAGAAGGAATATTTATGAAGTTTCTTCAACGAGCAAGGAAGCTGAAGTATCTGTCCCGAGGAAAGGTTAGTGCCTTTCTTCATCTATTAAATTAATCACTAAAATTTTTAACACATTCTTTATGACTTTGTCCATTGATTAATCTAATCCTTGAAGCCTAATATTATATAGTTTCATTAATCATAATTAAAGTTGGACCTCGTATGCGCCTGGTCATTGAAAATTTAATGGAAGAAGAATCCCCATTCAATCATAAGTTCATAATCTCTTTTTTTAAGTTTTCTCATCTACTGTTCCTCAACAGGGCTTATTGAATTTTTAGTCACAGTTAAAACCCAAACCTATCATTCAATCCAACTATTTTTCATGGTTAAACTTTTGAATTTCGAGTTATTTAATTTGGGGTAAAAATCAAGTTCGGTTTTGTTATTGGGTTCAATATTCGGGTTTGAAATTTATTTTAATTCATATTCTTCGCACTGAAATTTAGTTTAAATTTAAGATTGTAATATACGGAATGTGATTCATTCAAATGATAGACAAGTTGAATAGAATTGATTCAGTATAATATTTTGAACTCCCAGTCATCGTTAAGTACTGAAAAACTCAAGAATCCAACTTGAGTTAATCAAATTTAAACTAGGTGAGAGAGAGAAAGAGAAAAAAGAAGGAAAAAAAGAGAGCCGGGGGGCGAGGGGGAGTAAGAGGACGTAATGAAGCCACGTACGTCGACAAGAATAAGAGCGGGAACAAGTGGATTGTAGAGAATGGGTGGGCCTGGGGTTTCCAACTAGAAGCCATAAAGTATTCGAAAAGCTAAAGAAAAAACCAAGAAAAACCCAAATACCAATACAAAAATACACACACGGCCTATGTTTTTTATGGAAAAGATTTTTGTTTGTTTTTTTTTTCTCTCTTCCCTGTTGCAAGAGAAAATAGTTATTGAATTTTTGAGGCTCTCCTTCTTCCTTTGGAAAGAAAACCCACTTTTTTGGTTTGTAAGTATCCGAAAGTCCTGATGTGTGGTTCTTGTTTGTTTAACTGTCCATCTGAAACAGAGCAGAAGCTGAACCAGATGATCCTCTCATGGTGATAAACTAGTGCTGGTACACCTCTTTCTCTCTTCCTAATACTCCCTGTGTCTTTCTATAGTTGTATGTGTGTGTATTATATGTGTTTGATTATGCATGTATGCGTAGTTGCTTCATCTGGGTAGTTTGAATTTGCAGTTTCGTTTGATACTTTTTTGGAGGTTTCTTTGATGGGTATTTGTTGGTTGTGGTGGTGCTTGAGTTATTCATGCTTAAAGCTGCAAATTTTATGCTTATGATTGTATGGTTTTATGGCCAACAGGGAATTGTTTTGTTAAGAAAAGTGAGGTTTTGGGCTTTTTTAGGATGATGAGTTTTGATTGTTTCTGTTGCTAAGATGAGTTGTTGATTCACAATGGCACTGGTGAAAGATAAAGTATGTCTTAGAAGTTCAGGGATTCCTCCATTTCGTGGTTGTGTTTGGGTATACACTAGACCTCTTGTAGCTATAGGTGGATAACAATGGAGGGTTCGTCTGAGTCTGGTTGGCAAAAGTCTGATTGTTCTTGGGGAATAAATTCATCGGCGGTTTCTGATAGAAACCCTAGATTGGTTCGTGCCAGCTATATCAGATTATTCGTTGAGACACCTCCTCATTCTGGGTGTATTCCTGGGAGAAAGGTGAGAGATAGAGATTTGCTGCCTCACACCAATCACATTAAAACCCAGTTTGGAGGCTCTAAGGATGGGGTGGCAATGAGCCAGGTTGTTCGTGCCGTCGATTGTAGTGATGTTAGCTTGAGACAGTGGTTGGACAACGCTGAACGATCTGTTGATGCCCTTGAATGCTTGCACATATTTACACAAATTGTAGAGATTGTAAACCTGGCACATTCACAAGGAATTGTTGTTCAGAATGTGCGTCCCTCATGCTTTGTCATGTCTTCATTCAACCATGTCTCGTTTATTGAGTCTGCATCTTGCTCGGATTCTGGTTCGGATTCTTGTGAGGATGGATCAAACAGCCAAACTGCCGAGTTTAAGGGTTCCTCATCGCCTTTGCCCCATGACTTAAATCTGCCTGAAAGTCAGTTAGGTTTAGAAAATTCTCAGCTGGAGTTGAATCCAGCAAACACTTCCCAGATAGTGTCAGAAACCAGTTGTTTGCAGTCAAGTTCAGCCAGTGCAATGCGTGTGTCGTGGGAGGCCAGTAATGTTGAACAAGCAGATGAAAAGAAGCATCCCTTTCCAATGAAAGAGATATTGATTATAGAAACCAATTGGTACACGAGTCCAGAAGAGGTTGCTGGAACTCCAGGTTCTTGTGCTTCTGATATTTATCGACTCGGCATCCTCCTTTTTGAGGTCATTATTATGCGTGTCTCTCTCTCCAAATATTTAAAGCTATTGCTGTGCTTTTCCTTCTTACCTGATCTGGATGTATTACTTCTTGACAGTTATTCTGCTCATTTAGCTCGGCAGAAGATAAGAGGACAACCATGGCTAGTTTGAGACATCGTGTACTTCCTCCTCAGTTGCTACTGAAGTGGCCTAAGGAAGCTTCATTTTGTTTGTGGTTACTACACCCTGAGCCAAGTAGTCGCCCAAAATTGGAGTGAGTTTTCCTTACAACCTAGCCTTTCTACAATGCTATCTCTTTATGTATGGCCTGTGTGTATTGTGACTTAACTTTATAGTTTGGTCACCATTTTAATTATTGTTTCCTTCTTTGAGAGTGCAACATATTTGTGCATAAATACAACATATTACATTGGTATTTTTAGCATCTCTGCTGGCATCCAACATCTTATATCCAAAATTTTGTGAGTTCTCATGTTGATCTGATGAAAGCAGTATACTTCAGAGGATCTCAGAGACCAGTTATAGCAAAGTCCATATTATGGCTGTTTGCAGATTATATAAGTTTTTGGCAGTTACATGCTGCTAATTGTTGTTTTTCTTATCTTCCTTGCAACCATTTCAATGCGGTTGATGTCCAATAAAAAAATTTTGGAATCCTAAATCTGTTGTTTTCAGACTTCCCCAACTTTTTTGAAACAAAACCTGAAAAGGGAAGTAAATAAAAAAAAGGGGGGTAGAAAAAAAAAAAGACCTTTTGCTTGCCTCCGGCTGGTTTGAAAATGGTCAGCGGGGTGGTGAAGTTTCTAGGTGGGGATCCATGCATCGGCTTAGCCCCCAACGCCCAAAAGTAGATACAGACGGGCACTTTTATATATATCACGTGTGTGCTGGCTGCTGCGTAACTACTAGATTAGGATGAACCAGTTTTCATGATTCATCCCTTAAGTAGTCAGTCCGTAAACTATACTGAGTTGTGCTCAGAGAAAGAGTGAATTACCTTCCGAAGCTTTGAGCAGATACAAGTTGGCAGATGCTTTTTATTGTTGGCCAATACACTGATGAAGAATAATATTTATCCCTTCCAGAATCCACCTTCTGATGCCACACCAAGATAGTGATTTCAGGTTTCAATCATTGGGACAGAATTAGCTCAGTTAAATGATTTGCAATTTGTAGTTCTCTCCGCAGCTCTCTTTGAAAGCAGCCGCAATACTTCACAAATGTAAGAAGGAAATGCATAGGCACCTTGCTGTATAAAAGGAATTGCTTCAGCCTATGGAGTCTTGGTGCATTGATAATGTGGTATGGCAGGGAATGCTTTAAAGTATATGTACATTTTGTTTCCTTCCTGATTTGTGCTTCCTTGGCCAAACTGTTGCAGCTTTGTTCTTGACCTACTCGTGTCTATTGGTAGATCAATTTCATTGTGGTAGGAGTGTGAAGAGTACATGAGGAAGTGTATTCTGAGTTACCTTGCTACTTATAGTAGGGATGCTGAGTCATATGGTCTTACTTCTTAGAGTAACTTTGCTTGCCATTTCAGGAAAAGTGTTTGTTAGGATGGTAATGGTAGAAGTCAGTGCTAAGAATGTATAGTGGAAATGAATGCATACATAGTCTTAGTTTTCTGGTGACAGTTTCCAAATTGTTGTTTTGTAATGGAAAAGGATTAAGTTTGTGCTATAAACTTTCAAATTTACCTCGGCACATTCCACCTTCATTAATTTTGATTTCCTTGAGGTTAACTGTTCATACTCATTGCTGCTCTTGCCATGTATAAAAGTGAGCTGTTGCAAAGTGACTTTCTTAATGAACCGAGAGAAAGACTAGAAGAGCGTGAAGCAGCAATAGAGCTTAGAGAAAGGATAGATGAGCAGGAGTTGTTGCTGGAATTCCTTTTGCAGATGCAACAAAGAAAACAGGAAGCTGCGGATAACTTGCATGACACCATTTCCTTCATTTCTTCAGATATAGAAGAAGTTTCAAATCTCCAAACAGTGCTTAAGAAAAAAGAAGGTTCAAGCCCAGAACTTGGAAAGGATTTTGCTGCAGGTTCCCATTCAAGGAATATTATTGACAATGATGACTCTAGTAGCTCTGGATCCAGGAAACGGTGCAGGCCTGGGCTTCAAGTTCATAATACGGAGGAATCTCATGATCATCAAGATGAGGATAAGAAATCAGGGATACCCACAGAACATCAAGGAAGCATTCTTTCTCAAAGTTCTCGATTGATGAAGAACTTTAAGAAACTTGAGTCAGCTTATTTTTTGATGAGACACAGGGCAATCAAACCAACAGGGAAGCCACCTAGACATTCTGCAATTAGTGAGGGTAGAGGATCAATTGTTGCAACTGAAAGAAGTTCTGTCAATAACTTGTCGTCGAAGGAGCATTATGGCAGTGGTGGACAAAGTGGATGGATAAATTCAATCCTGGAGGGGTTCTGCAAATATCTGTCCTTTAGTAACTTAAAAGTTAAGGCAGACTTGAAGCAAGGGGACCTTTTAAATTCTTCCAACCTCGTATGCTCTCTGAGTTTTGACCGTGATGGAGAATTTTTTGCCACTGCTGGTGTAAACAAGAAGATCAAAGTGTTTGAATATAATGCAATCTTAAATGGAGATCGTGATATCCATTATCCTGTAGTTGAAATGAGTAGTAGATCTAAGCTAAGCAGTATATGTTGGAATGGCTATATCAAAAGCCAGATTGCTTCAAGTAATTTTGAAGGTGTTGTGCAGGTATGCCAAGACCTTTATATAATCTGCTTTTTACATCTATTCCCTATTAAAAGATCAGTTGGCTTATATAGACCTTCTTCAGGTATGGGATGTTACAAGAAGTCAAGTATTCATGGAAATGAGAGAGCATGAAAAGCGTGTGTGGTCTGTCGACTTCTCACTAGCAGATCCAACAATACTGGCCAGTGGAAGTGATGATTGTTCTGTTAAGCTCTGGAATATCAATCAGGCAATTCTATTTTTGCACTTGGTGGATGTCAGCTTTGAAAATAAACGTACTGCAGTCATCTAGTTACTGCTGCTCACTATATTCGATTCAGGATGTGTAATTAGTTCTTTTTCTTACATGGGTTGCTACTGCAGGGTGTAAGTGTTGGTACCATCAAAACAAAGGCCAATGTCTGCTGTGTTCAGTTTCCCTCGGATTCTGGTCGTTCTGTTGCCTTTGGTTCAGCAGACCATAAGATATATTATTATGATCTCCGTAACTCAAAGATGCCTCTATGCACATTCATTGGACACAACAAAACTGTGAGTTACATCAAGTTTATAGATTCAGCGAATCTTGTGTCGGCATCCACGGATAACACACTGAAGCTTTGGGATCTGTCGATGTGCACATCCCGGGTTCTTGATTGCCCTCTCCAGTCATTCACAGGCCACATGAATGTAAAGGTACATTCTTGGGTTTTGTCATTAACATTCATTACGTATCGGAATAAGCAAGTATAAAACAACTGTGGTTGCTGTTCTAAGCATCACTCTCAATACAGGGTGTATTGTTATTAACTTTAAGTTAGAGGAGATGGCTTCCACATACTGAGAGTTAGCATATTTAGAATTTATCCATGCAAACTATCAAAGTTTTCACTTGCAACGTTGGTCAATTTTAGAAAATGTTCTCTTGATCGAGTTTTCCTTTTCTTTTGTTTTTTTTTTTTTTGTTTTTTTTTTTTTGGGGGGGGTGGGGGTTGGGTTCCTTCTTGTTTGGGGGATGGGTTCATGTGACTGTGTTTAAGCACAGGAAAATAAAAAATCCTGGAATGGACTAATATTCAATAAGGTTACAGTTATTCAAAATCAGTAACCTATAGAGTCTCTTGTGATAAATTGAGGATAATTAGAAAAAAAAATCCTAACATAGATTCCCAAAATTTCACCAAGTGTACACTGCCCACTTACATTATGCAGCAGAAACGAACCTAAACCTCTCCGCTTTCGGCTTTCAGTGCTTGAACTCTGGGAACCTCAATATTTTTAAGTGTTCTTTTGAAGGAAAGTTCATAAAAATAGTAACTAGTTTTGTCTAGTAAAAAGAAAAAGAAGTTGCAGATGAGAAGCATTAATTAGTCTTCACCCCCAACTTTAACGTGAAAACAAGGATAAGTACTTTACATTAGCTACATTGTCGTGAATACCCAGAATGTGAATAAATGGCAAGCCTCCTATTTTTAAATAATTATAAACTAATAGTACGCACTGTGTCGGTAACGGGGGTGCATGAATTTGTTCACTTATGTGCATATACTGGCATACTGTGAGTTTATGGTGCACAAGAAAAAATTATTACCATATGCCATTAACAACAATCAAAGCACTTTAGGAAATTTATGGAAAATGTTGTCAAATACATTTTCTCAGACCCATTGTTGGACTCACTACAGAACTATTTATATCTTGACTTGGTGCTTGTTGGCCGAATTTGATATTGACAATTTACGTGCAAGTATACAGGATCAACAATTAATAAAGTGATAAGTAGAGTATCGTTCCCACGGAGAATTATTACTAATAACTTTCAAGTACTAACTTTATATCAATTCAATTTTATTTAAACAATTGGAATTGAACTATGAAATTACTAATTGAAAACTAAATCTAAACTTAATAATCAATAGTTGAATTTACCGGATAAAAGAAGTTAAGATTACAACTTCCCCTAATGCTTCGTATAAATCTTTCCACTCTCTTTTCAGTTAATTAATCAAAATAAGTTGTTAACTAAGAACTCAAAGTTATTTATCAAACCTCTTCCGATAGCTAGATAAAGTTATCTCTCCCAATTGAATTACTATATTCTTATGCAAAATAAGTTGGAATAGATTCATTAAGTTCAAACTCTCATAAAAGTTACACACGACATATAGGTATATTCCTATCCTATACACAAACCCAGCAATTCAATCCTAAGAAGAATTAACTAAACGCATGTCATCATATTCAGATCTATCCCTAGAATTCATCTCCCAATTTCATCTAAGGAATCAAATTAATTGTTGGCCACACAATCATATATTAAGCACCAAATATAACAAATAAATTATGTACGATCAATAGAACTAGAAACGAGAGTAGATTAATTTAACTAGACATAGGTTCCGTTGCAATCTTAATAATAAATTAATTCATAACGTAATTGAAAAACATCGTTCTCATATTAAACAACATCTTAGAAAATCAAGAAATAAAAGTAAAAGAAAAGAATAAAAACTTAGATGCAATCTTCAATCCTTCTCTAGCCTTCAAGTCCAATCTTCTTCGTGTTGATTCCTTCGATTCTTGTCTTCAATTTTCTTCCAATTCCTTGGCTTTTCCAGATGTTTTCAGCCCCCAAAAGTCATAACATCTCATCTCCACACAAACCCTAGCATATATGTAGCTTTAGAGTTCAATTTCGGGTCAAAAACAAGGCAAAATTCGCGTCACGGACCAACACAAGCGCGGGGGCTGAAAAGGTGTCGAAAAAGCGCTGCTTGGACAGAATGTGAGCGCAGGGGCGCTGGAACAGCGCTGCCCCCTTTCAAGCCTTCAGCTCCTTTGTTGTTTAGTCTTCAAAAATCTAACATTTAAGCTCCAAATTGACCTTGTTTCCTTTCAAATGATCTTGTTTGCTTCCAAATAATGATTTCTACCGAATAACTTCAAAACACAATAAACAAATAAAAAGAAACATAAAATAATTAAAAACTTGCAATTTCATCAAGCCGAAAGTACTCAATTCGTAGGTATAAAACCCACTCATCAGTGCTTTTGAACAAAATCATCGACAATTGCTCAATTAGGTTTTTTAGTCATAATGAATTCAACTAGGTCTTTTCTCAAGTTTTTTTGGTAATTGCAAATTGCAACTGGTGTGTGTAATATCCCCCGATTATAGAGTTATTCCATATTTTCAAAGTGTCGATGATGGTTTGGAAAACTCAGGAAAAAACTCGTTGATTTGTTTACATTGTTATCCTTATTGTTAGTCCTGTTTTTTAATTCAGATATCAACAACTTGTGACAATCTGCTCATGCTGAACATATATCTAACAGCTGATGCATTATTCTTTGTTCCAGAACTTTGTTGGTTTATCTGTATCTGAGGGATACATCGCGACAGGCTCAGAAACCAATGAGGTACTTATAAGTTTTACATTGCTATTGACTATACAATTTGGAACCTACCTTTTTTTGGCTCATTTATATTCTTACAAAATGGTGACAGAAAAATGGTTTTGGTGTCTCTCATTCGTGGAAAATGTGTAACAATAGATGATTTATTAAGAATTAGTCCGATAAAGAAAATAAGGGCGCAAAGGTTCTGGAAAAATATGGTTCCTCATGACTGCTAGAAGGATACAAATGAACCAAGTGGAACCAAATAGTAAGCTGTTTGATCTTGGAAAGAATTTCTCTCAAATTGCCTTAATCAAGTCCAAATCAATTAGGCTAACTCAACCTTAGTTCAGACCCACCTTTGAAGCATGGATATTTCTAGAAGTTCATATCAGTAAATTATCCATACTTGGTATCGATTCTCTTAGGATACTTGTGCATAAATGTCTTATTCTTGTATATGTATTAACTTCAAGGAAAAAAAACTGTAACAGATACCCAATACTAGAATATGAAAGGTGTATCACACTTCTTTGAAAGAACAAGATTGTTTTGGGTGCTTAAACTATGTCTCAGAGAACAAGAATTGAGATATAGTTTCATCGTTCTTCTTTTACAATGAGACATCGAATTGGGATTAAATGAGGCAAGTTGTGCTGAATCTGGTCTCAAGTCAAAATTGATCCAGCACAAACTGATTTTTGTCTCTTGGGAATTTAATATTGTGGCTTAGTAACTTTGAATCTTATAGATTTTGAGAAGAAGATTGTTGTAATATGTTTATATCAAGACAAACAATTATGATTTTTGTGTCTACGTATGTCTCTGTGCACATATATAGAAAGATTATACCCATTCATATGATGCTATATTATCTTCAACATTTTCATATTCTATCTTTTTTGATCTTTTTCGCATAATGTTCTTGCTGCATTCTGTTTCCCTCTTCCATTCTTGATCTCTCTCCACACAGTTAGGCCGAACTTTTTGACTCATCTCAGCTAAGGCTTCAAGACTGTCAAGAGTAGGCAGCTGATTAGTCAATGCAGGAAAGGTGGAGGCAATGTAGATGATATATTTTGTTATGGTGATATTTTTGTCCAAATCAAAATTTTAGGCGATAGATATGCATAGGATTCCTAAAAAATGCTTTGGGTGAGGTGCCACTCCTATCAGCTAAAGTTCACTTTGCATGGTGAACTGGTTTTACTCTTGCCTGCCTCATATGCTGGTTCCAGTCTGCCCATCACAAACTACTTCTGGGTAGTGCTGTAGGCCTTTTTGAGTTTTTGGATGCACGTCTTTTGTTCCTACTCCTTGTCAGTGTCAAAGGGACAAGCTTACCTTCCCTTGTACAAAAATTAGTTGGACATAAAATCATTTGCAGGTCATATATCCTCGCATCTGGAGTGGCCCTTCTTTTCTGGGTCAGTATTCGGAATGTACTTAAAGTTACTTTTAATAATGCATCCTGCCATGCTAGCCAGTGGCAAGTATATCCAAGGAGATTATGGCTGCTTGAGGTCAGATCATTTGCTTAAGTGAACTCGGACATTTTGCCCAGGCTCATTTTGGGAACACTTAACGCAAATGTGGTCAAGCCTTAACTGAGTTGAACATGTGTTCGCTGTGTGAAATTCTGGTCATCATGCTGCCTTATGCCAGCTTGCAACTGCAGTATGTTTCTGGATCAATGATACATGTCTGATGGGCAACTTTCGTGGACATTGTACTGGTATGCTTCCTAGGGAAACAATGTCCCAATCTTTTTGCACTGTATAGGGTACAATTTTTGATGTAGTGAAAAAATCAAGGGTTAAAAATTGCACAAACCTCTTGACCTTAGGTCAAATTACACAAAGATCTCGACATTTCAACAATGGCATGGGGATCTCGAAACATTTGCAATGTGTAATAGATAGGGTATGATTTTTTGACCAACAATAGTCAACCAAAATTTTATTTCAAAAACCCCAAATCAGATGTCTTTGTACCAACTAATGTC